AACCGCCGTGCGAGGAGAAGGAACAAGCGGCTCCACTTTTTATAGTTTGGTTGAGAAAAGCTGAGTTGAATTGGAACATGGAGTTTGACGTTGGAGACGGAGAAAGCCAGATGTGGAGATTTTTGGGTGGAGGATTGAGACGTGACTTCACTGTCGGTCATTGTAGAGGAGTCGAGGAGCTGCCGGCCGAGAAGGAGAAGGAGGAGGGGTGGCGGCGCTGCTGTTCGGCGAAGGGAGGAGGAGGCCGAAACTTGGGGGAGAAAGTTTTAGGGTTTTTAGTGAGGCTCGGATACCATGAAGAATTGTATTTTCGTTGAATGAATATGTTAAGAGTACAAGTGTGTGTGTATATATATATATATATATATATATATATATATATATATATATATATATATATACAACTTCTCAATCCTAGTTATGGTAGGAGAGGTATTCTAGGAAAGCTATACAAGTATGGAAACAAATCATAATTAATAATATTAAATATATTTTATATATTAAACAGTAACCCCCAAGACTCCATCAAATGCAAATTGAATATAAATTCAAAATCGTCAATGAAATACAAAATGGCGGATGCTTCTGTTCTTACCGCATCATTTTTAGGATCATCTTGAATGATATTCATCAAAGAATCTATTGGAGAAAACAATGCAATTACACTCATAATTGTTCCATAGTGAGAGCCTCAACGCGTATCACCCGGTCTTCTCAAAGTAGTTTCTTGATTTGAACCCTTTCCAACCAAATCACCACAATCAATTCTTTCAAGTATCAATTCGTATTGCTTTTCACAAAAAATATCCCTTCTCTTACATGAGCCATTCACAACATTGGCCATTTTCTGAAGCATGTCAAAAAATTCTTGAAGTTTCCTATCACTTTTAGCAACCTTCACAAGTGCTAATTGTAATTGATGAACAAATCAATGAATATAATATGCAGACTTATTTTTAGCTAAAATCAAACTTTTAAGACTATTGAACTCACCTCTCATGTTGCTTGCTCCATCATATCCTTGACCACGACATTTTGATAAACTAAGGCCTAATCTAGTAAGAAGTTCATCAATTGCAGATTTTAATGATGCTAATGTAGTATCTGAAACATGGACAATTCCAACAAAACGCTCCACAATTTCCCCTTTCTTGTTTACGTAACGTATGACCACGACCATTTGCTCCTTCATTGATACATCACGAGCATCATCGACAAGCAAAGAATAAAAATCATCTCCAATTTCACTCACTATCTCTTTTAATGTTAAATCTGCACGAGCAATTGCAAGATCTTTTTGGATTTTTGGAGAGGTCATTTTATTATACAAAACCACTTTCTACATTTCTTCATTTGACATGGCATAAAAATTCAAAGTCTCAAGAAACAACCCTTTTATATTTGAACTTTCGGACTCATCATGACCACGAAAAGGAAGACCATTTTTTAAAAGAAATCTTACACAACTCAAAGACGTCTTCAAACAGATGCGGTAATCTTTTCTTGCTTGGTATGAAATATTCATAATTGTGAATTTACGAGAGATTGAATGATAATTCTTCTGTGTCCATTCTCAAAGGATCTCCTCCCTTTAAATAGGGTGAGACTAAAAAACATACAAGGAAACCAACTCATAGTAGGAAACAAATTCTTAAACAAATAAGGGAACTAAAAACATGGCCAAGAAAGGAAAAAGAATCCTAGAGGGAATCGGCTGCTGTGGTGCGTGACTTGCGGCCCAAGGCTACCGGCCAATACCCCCCCCCTCAAGCTGGTGCATGTGGGTTACGGATGCTCAGCTTCGGCAACAAACAGTCAAACGTAGGAGACGGGAGTGCTTTGGTAAACAAGTCGGCAGGGTGATCATGAGAGGGAATATGGCATGTGCGGCGTACACCATGCTGAATTTCATCACGAACAAAGTGACAGTCGATCTCAATGTGCTTTGTGCGTTCATGAAAGACGGGGTTAGCAGCAATGTGAAGGGCGGCCTGGTTATCACAATATAGTGTCATAGGATATGTATGTCGTACGCCAAGAGAGAAAAGAAGAGAGTTCAACCATTTGAGTTCACAAACTGTCGTGGCCATAGCTCGGTAATCGGCCTCAGCCGAAGAGCGGGAAACCGTGTGTTGTTTCATTGTACGCCAGGATACCGGAGAGTCACAAAGTTTGATAAAGTAGCCTGTGACAGAGCATCATGTGAGGGGACAGCTAGCCCAGTCGGAATCACAAAAAGCGGTGAGAGTGAGATTGCAATGAGCCGGAAGGAATAGGACATGTCCCGGCCGCTGCTTGATGTAACAGATAGTATGCATGGCAGCATCCTAGTGTTCCCATTTTGGAGACCCCATGAATTGAGAGAGTGTGTGAACGGCGTAGGCGAGGTCGGGACGAGAGATGGTGAGATAAATAAGCCGGCCGACCAACCGACGAAATTTGCCAGCTTCGGCGTGACCCAGCTCGGCCCCACAAGCTAAGGCTAGACGGTGGTTGACTGGAAGAGGCGCCACCACCGGGCGTGAGCCAAGCATCCATGTTTCGGTCAGAATGTCCAAAGTATATTTGCGCTGGCATAAGAAGATTCTATGGGAACTGCGAGCAACCTCAAGACCTAGAAAATATTTTAAAGGCCCCAAATCCTTCATGTGAAAACAAGTAGACAAAAAATGCTTGAACCGAGCAATGGACTGTTCGTTGTCACCGGCAATGACCAAATCATCAACATAGATGAGGACTTGAAGCTGAACACCCCCCCTGTCGAAAATAAATAGAGAGTAGTCGGACTTTGATTGAACGAACCCGAACGAACGTAAGGCGGAAGTCAACTTGGTGACCCAACAACGCGGAGCTTGACGTAAGCCATATAAGGATTTATGGAGACGACATACCAAGCCCTGTTGCCGTGCGGATGACCCTGGGGGTAGACACATGTATACCTCGTC